TTTTCCTGTATATTGTTTTTATTTTATTTTACACTGCATATATTAATTTGAAATAAGCCTAATTAGATACTTAAAACATTTTTTAAAGCTGAAAAAAGGTCATATACTCTATCATAACACAAACATAGGGTCAAATCTCAAATTTACATGTTGACATGCAAAAAAAGGCCATATAGTTCTGTTTATCTGCTTGACAAAGAATACTTTTAGAAGTAAATTAAATGCATATTCATTATATCAGTGTTTGGGGTAAAATGATAATAAGCCTAGAACTAAACAAACAGATCTGGCTTTGAAATCAGTACCAATCTGTCATTAGACTCTTTTGGGTCTTATTTGTAAAATGAGGACAATCCTCACTAAACTCTTGTGAGGATTATATGACACTAATGTCTAAAACATAGGGAGGTCCTTAATGCTCCTGGGATTTCCTTCACAAATTTCCATTGGACAGAAATACAATGGTGGCAGACTTGTAAACTACATTCTAACAGTTCCCTATTTAAGAAGAGAAATGGAGAGACAAGAGGCTCATGAGCAGGAGAACAGATTGTTTAAAAGGCACAGTGAATGTGTACATGGTGGATCAGAGCCAACATCAAGAGATGGGGCTGGAGTGGTTAAGACTGGGGCAGACCTTGTAGCTACATATCCCAAGAGTAAGAGTTACATGCTGCACTGTTCTTGCAGCTCTGCTAGGCTTAGCCTAAGAGTTAGAAAATGGCTGCATGCTACACAATCCATGTCTCTAAGTTACAACTGAAATGAATAAAAGTCTTCAAAAGACTTCTGAACATTTCTCCTTGAAATGGGAAATGGACGTGGTGGTTTTAACTTACTAACCAGTTACCAAGGAGAGAGGATTAAAATCTCCTGGCTCACTCCATTCATTCATCCACTCTCTTTGCCTCATCCTGCATTATTTTCCTCTACAGCCCTTAGCACCATCAAATGTCACATAATCACTTATGCTCCATCTTTTCTGGCAGAATGCAGGCTCATAAAAGCCAAGGTGTTGTCTTGTTCACCATGTATAACTGGTGCCCAGGACAACATTTGACATGTAGTAATCTCTCAGTACATTTGTGCTGAATAAAATAGCAATCTCTATAGTTATAGCCATATAATTACATTTGATAAAAATGAATTTATCCTTATTTTGAAGGCATTAGGTTTATGCTAAAAATTCTACGTGTAATCTACTAGTATAGTTATAAACATCTTATTTCAAAATAAGATTTGAGAAATTAAAAAAAGTGTATTTACTGGTAGCTAGATTCAGCTTCACCTTAATACAGAGGGTACCAAAAAAATGTATACACATTTTAAGAAAGGAAAAAACTGTATTAAAAGTGTAATAATATATACCAATTACAAAAAATGAATACAAGTCACATTTGACTTCTGCAACCACAAGAGGGGCTCAAAGTGGTTACCATCAGTGTCCACACATTTCTGATTATGGCAAACTAAAAGTAATACCTAGCTAATATCTCTTAAAATGTGTACACTTTTCTTTTGGTACCCCTGGTATAATAAAATCACTTTGCTCTTGAAAACCTAAAACCCTATGCTTTGAATGCATGATTATGTGAATAAATCTTTCTCCCCCCAAATTTAGGCATCTTTGTTAAACAAAAATGATTAGTTTTCCAAGTAAAATTTAACACTATATATAGTCTGTACTTTTTACAGTTTTAATTTTTCAGAAAATAAAGCTGTGAAGTTAAATGAATTTGTTGTAAGTACTCTCTCAAAACTTTATGATGCTGTTATACCTTATGGTTTTATTTATATGCATTTTCCTTACAAAAGACTTAAACAGCTTTCTCCCTGGAATTTCAGTTTCTCCAGATCCTGTTCACATTCTCCCACACTCCCAAATCACTTATTAAAGCTTAACTAAACCTACTAGGTAGAGATGATCTCTCTCTGCTTTCAGAACCTCCAGCATGCTTACAATGAATGTAAATTCAATTAGTATCAAAGTATTTGGCACCTAAAACTAACACAAGTGAAATAATTAATGAAAACTATGAGTACAACTAAGAAGCAGGAGCATAAGTGAACTGGGAGCCAGCCAGGTGAGCCTGCAGCACTTCCTCTGTTTCAGCCACACATCCCAAGACGTAGTCCTTAACCTCACTATGCTTCAATAGCCTCCTTAAAGTAAGACGGGTAAACTTCCAACTATATGGGTTTATACATTTGATGGTTGGAGTTCTTTAGAGTTCTTTAGTACAAGAAATATGGACTCAGCCTTTGGCTTTGGACAGGTTGGCAGTCCAGCTCTGAAGTAAGAGCCAACAGCGTGCTAGTTTGACTCACTGATGTTTAACACATCCATGAAAAGTAAGAGAGAATACAAAGTTACATATTTTTTTAAAAAAGGAATTATTGCAAACCAAAAACAAACACCTAATTTTAATAAAGTAAACAAAGAACTGAATACCACATGTTCTCACTCAGATGTGGGTCCTGAACATTTATCACAAGACTACACGGGAGGGATTGGCAGTAGCAGGACGCTGCTGGGGGCTGGGGGGGGGACACATAACATCACTAAGGGTACCTGATCCTAAACCAGGAGAAGTGAGGACCAGTTGGAGATCCAAATATCACCTGCATGTAGACTACTTAAGTACCTAATTCTTGTACCCCACATCTTTATAAGAAAATAAACAAAATTAAAAATAAAATTTTAATTTCACAAAGCTATATATTACACGTTTACAAGTTATGAGAAGAACTTCTGCATGTTGTGAAGATAAAACATATTTGTGTTACTGGCTAATACTCTGTCTCCTGAACAAAAAATTCATTTGGCTCACATGATCCCTACTCAAAAGCTAATAACTAAGGCAGTAATTCTGATCATGCTCCAAACAACCCTGGGATATTTTCCTGTACCCAGGGACAATGCTGATTAATTCCCTCAGGAATAACACAGTTTCCTCATATCTCACCCTCAAAAAGACATCAGCAATCCAAAGTTGCTCTGGGAACGGCAAACTTTCCCATGTTGCTGTGGTCCACAAAGAGGAGATCATTACAATATTATGAAATAATAAAGAACTTTCAGAAGCAAGATTAGTTATCCTTCTATCCCAGGCAGGTCACCAGCAAAATGACACTCTTAGCCACTCCTTGAGTTTATAATCATCCCCCAAATTCCTCTACTATTTCAGTGGCTCTCAAACTTCAGAGGGCATCTGACTCATCTATGGACTGAGGCCTTAGTAGCTTAAATGACAGACTCCACAGGGACCCTGATACCCACCAGAGTCCTTCAGATGACAGCCTTATACTCACCTAATTACCCTTGGAGTGTTCATAAGAAAGAAGAACAGATATGGTGCTCATTAACCTTAAAAAGTATATCAGAGTACTTGGAAGACTTTACTGTCAATTGTTTTGATTTGTTCCCTTATCCTTAATGTATTTATAATGAAAACAACGTACAATGGTATATAATAGAATGTAAAGAAAACATATCAGTCTGAATGTTTAGCATCATTCATGAAAAAGTATTTTTCTTAAAGGCAAAAATTAAACCTTTTATGTACTTCCTAAAAATCTATAAAATTAGGAACATATCAAGACATAATAAATCAGGCCAGTTCATTAAAAGTGCCAGCATACATCGTACTGCATGACCTCCCTGTTCTTCTCAGAAAAGATACAGTGAAACCTTAAACTGATACAATGTAAACCCAGGGAGCAGCATCCAATGTGTATCCATACTTCCATGTATGCTTTCATGGGTCCTAAAAGTGCCCCATGATAGGTTCTCATAAGACAGTTGGAACATGAAATATTATCCTGTCTAGTCTGGATAGATAGGTTCCTAAACGAAACCTCTAAAATGTACTTGATTAATTTCATATCTCAGGAAATTCCTGACTTTCCCAGTCCTCCTCTACATGGGTGAGTCACTAGAGTGCATTTTGCTATAGGGTAGTCCAGAAGCTATTAAAAGATACAAAAATAATCCTAAAGGCTTGAGTTAAATCTCTCAAAGCAAGGTTACATTAAAATCCTTTCTTTAAATCTGGCTACAGCAAAGCATAGGAAACGAATGGGGTGAATTTAGATAATTCTACATCTAGATTGCTATAAGGCATAAGAAGACTATTTATCCATAGACTCGAACAAAAAATTTTAAAAGGCAGATTCTTAACAAACATTTACAGCAAATTTGCATCCTATTGTTTCATATATAAAAGTGTACTTATGATATTACACTATCATAGGAGAGGGAGAGTAAGTCATAGTTCATTTAAATCATTTACCAGTTAATTGCAAGTACCAAATAGAATTCTATAAACTGAAATCACTTTACAAAGGTATAGCTCAAGTGTTACCTAAACATTCCCTACAGAGGTTTTCTGTGTAGCAACAACAGAGATGTTCTTCTATATTGAACAGACTCAACCATTCTTTACATTTTCAAATTCAGTGATAGTTTCTTATGAGGTGAGATGTCATCAGTGAGAAAATAATTTAATGATTAAAAAAATCTTCAATAAAGAGATCTTCCTGTCATGCTTATTAGGAGATTTTAAAACGGAAAGAACAGGTCTGGTCGTTGTGGAGGAGAGAGGGAGACTGTGGCCTCTGAAGAGGATTAAATGACAACCTACATAAAGTGAGGAAGGTTTAGCATTAATTCTCATAACTTTTCTTTTTTTTATTTATAACTTTAGGGGCAATCTATTTAAATCTTCTGCACACTTTCATTTTTAATTACCCTTGTCTAGCAACATGGTAATATATTATTTTTAAAGAAGTACTAGATCACATATTTTCAAACATCATATGGCTTATGGGATATAATACTAATTTTTTTAGTCAAATCACATTAACATACACCATCATAACAACATTTATACATCCCAAAAGAACATTCTGGGTCTGGAAATATACTGAATTTATAAAGACGCTCAGTCATTCTAAAATGTACAAACCAAAAATGTTCTACAAAAATAAACTTTACTTACTAGTATTGATCAGAAATTGATTTGACACACCAGGATGATCTACATCATGTATTGCACTGGCAAAAATTGCTGCAAGAATCTCCAAATCTGTAAACACAGCCTGGAAAATCAGACAATATAAATAACTATTCTATAGCAATATGAATTAAAAAGATAAACAACAAACGAGAAATAACTTCCTAAAATTTAGATGGAAAACAAAGCTTTAAAATATGTTATCATAATGTGTCAGAAAGTGTTTTAGATAATGAGATACTCATAAACTTTTTAAGTGTAGCCTTAGAAGAAAATATTTTACCTAATTTTATTATATCTCATGATCAAACTTTTTCCATTTATTATATTTTTTAAAATATTAAAATCTGTCTGATATTCTTTTTTTTTTTTTTTTTCTTTTTTTGAGTTGGAGTCTCACTCTGTCGCACAGACTGGAGTGCAGTGGCCGCTCCCGGCCACCGCAGCCTCGACTTGCAGGGCTCCAGCGATCCTTGTGCCTCAGCCTTCCAAGTAGCTGGAACTACAGGTGCGCTACCATGCCTGGCTGATTTTTTTGATCTATTGTAGAGATGAGGTCTCACCAAGTTGCCCATGTGGGTCTCGAGCCCGCGGGCTCAGGCAATCCACTCGCCTCAGCTTCCCAAAGCATGGGATTACAGGCTGAGCTACTGAGCCCAGCCTGATATTCTTTTTTAAAGATGACAATAGATTATTTAATAAATATTTAAGACATTAAAAACATTAATAAGACATGAGCAATTATTCAAACCAAAGATTCCCAGCACTATTGACATTTCGGATCAGATAACTCTGTGTGTATGTGAGCCTGTTCTGTGCATTTTGTTAGCACCATATATAACTAAAAATGTTCTTGTTGTAACACTCAAAAATGTCTTCAGACATTGCCAAATCTCCCTGGGAGTGAGAGGAGGGGAAGAGAAATCATCTCAAATTAAGAATTGCTCATTCAAATGATGAGGAACTAACAAAATTTTATAATGAAACAATCTGAACAATCTAAAATATAGTTGCAAAAGAGTATCTTTCCCCCAAATGTTGAAAGAAATCAAATTGCTTTAGTACATCGTGAATTAAGTTAGGATTGGGAAAAGTGTTTCCTTCTAATAAATTCTATGAAAACTATCAATGCATTGCTTATATTTAAAAAAATAATCATCCTTTCACCTATATAAATATAAAAGTCATCAGACTATATTTAAAGAAGACAAAATAACCGAAAGTGAGTAAGCCAGATGTGCTTTATGAAATGTCTACTGGATCATTTCAAAGACGTAGTATCCTAAACAGTTGAATCTCTAAATCTCTGACCAACTTCACAGGCAAAATTCAGCAAAGACTCAGCTGCTTATTAACCACCATAACACTCCCCTCATAAGTCAATATACTTCCAATGAATTCAATTGTTTTCTTCACTGCAAACCCTTCAGTATAAAAGTTTAAGAGACTTATAAGTGGCAAGTTAGTGTTCCTGAAAATTCAAAAAACCGATTTACCTCTAAAGCAGGTGTAGATAATAGCACATGAGTAGACTGGACAACATCTGCAGCATGGATATTGTTGTGATAGGCCACATCAGCATGGTAATGGTCTTCGAGAGTCATAAGATATGTAATTAAAGTATCTACTGGAATTTTAAATGTTTTTAATAAATCCCGTTCCTGTAGGAAAAGAAATCCTCTTACTGTTTTTGTCTTTATATAAAATGTTATTCCATAGAATATATTAAAAGAAATCACACATTAGTGCTACCTGTGGATAACCCAGAAATGGCAACTGGCACAGATCTAGTGAGGAAAATGGAAACCTCTGGGGAAATCCAGGGACTTTGATACAAAATCACAGTTAGGTTGTCCTGGAATCCAGTAGTGCTATACCCCAGCTATATGATGTCAGGAATGAGCTGCTAGCTCAAAACGTTTCTATGTCTCATTATCACGAAGACTGCTGAAGTCAAGCACTAAGTCAGTCACTGGATCTCACCAGCTGACAATCAACATCCTCTTTAGGGCTGGAGCTTCCCGTTCTAGTCCCTAGGTACCTTCAACCGCCTCAACATCTCATTTAAATCCCACCCTGGGCTGGGGCAAAGGCTCAACAAGAGTGAGAAATGGATATGGAGAAAATGGCAGGAAACAAAAAAGTGAAGAAACTACCTTCTAAGGTTAGTCAGCAACAGGCTTAATTCACTTTTTAAAGTTAGTACTCCATTTATTATGCAAGTCAGCGTCATAAAGATGATTTTTAAACTGTTACGTCAATTAATTGCTTTGCTCTCCCCCGTTACAAAATTTTTAATGTAAAAAAAATCAAAAATTGATTTGTGTTTTACCTATACTCTATCTTTCTGTATCTTTATTTATCCCTTGGCAAAGAAAAAACAGAAAGAAAAAGTATCAAAATAAGCAAAAGAGTGTTATAAATAAAGAAGACAAAACGCATGCCCAAGCCACTGAACATTAAGTTCCTGAGTAAAAGAAATATGATAGGACTCAAGAATGTTACCTGAAAAATGGTGTGCATGATAACAGTCAAAGGCCGGTTACCAGACAACTCTGCTATTCTGAAAACATGAAGACCCCATTTGTTCACATCTTCTAGTTCCTGGGGTTAAAAACAATATAAAAAATTTAGAAAGTGGAAGAGAACATGAATCAATGAACACAATCATTTAAAAAAATTACTGATCTGAATGTAAAGATCATTAAATTTTTAAAATAATGATTCATTTTAAATGTAATGGATGCACCATACATATAGGCAAACTTTAGGCAAATTCATTTAAATGTACTGAAAACTGAGTAGTATACTTAGCCTTATGTCTTTTAAAATACAATATATTTATATATTTTGAATATCAATCTCAAAGCATTTCTTCAATGGATAAAATCTATTCATAAAACATTAACTAGTCTCCTAAAGCCTATAAGAGATAAATGCCTAACTCTTTAAGGCCAAATAATCAAAGATGAAAAAAACAAGAAACATATACACCAAACCACCTAAATCCATGTATTAATAAAATCCAAATACTTTACAAAAATCAACAAATAAATAAACCTTTCCAATCTATTAAAAAGGGAAGGAATCAAATTTATGAAAAGGTAACACTGCATATTTTTTTTATCATGATCTTTGAAGTCATCATACCTTGGCAAGGACATCTTCTTGTTCAGTTTTAACTCCAAACCTTGGGATACTTGAATTAGTCAGACTAGAGCTGTGCATCAATTTCTTGACTCCACTGATCTGAGACATTGGTCTTTTCTTTTTCTCCTTTTCCTTCTGAGTTGGAGAAGGAATTTCCACTTCATGTTGCTTATCTTGAGAAATTTAGAAAATGTTCTACATTTATTATTAATTCTACCCTTTTTCAAATAAAAATCATAACATGCATAACTGAACAGATTGTAATTGATCATTATATATTCCAGGAAATATTTCCAAGTAAAACTTTTCCTTTTAGAGAGTTGAGTATTAAAGTCTGATGTGAATATAATTTTATATCATGAAACACAAAATTAAGCAAATTCCATTACAGAATAATTATTGCCAAATATATTTAGTAGTTACCTCTTTGATAGAATGTCCTAATAAAAATTTTTATGATACTTATCATGATAGCAGACTGGAAGAAGATAAAACAGGTGGTTATTTCCACTGTACATCGCCTCCATTCCTATTTGAAATTCAATTAGAGCTTTGAAAACTGCTCTTGCCAACTAAGGACTCCAGTTTCAATAAGTACTTTGAAATGATAGAAACTTCATACACAAATGTCACAAAAATAGCAGTGTATAAACCTAATATCTAACTGAAATAGGTCATACTGTGGGAGTTGAATCAGCATTTTTGGATGACTGGGACGAATTCTCATACTTTTTAGTTCTCTATATTATGAGAAAAGGGTTATGATATAATCAGGTTTAATAGAGAGCATAGAAAATCTCAAATATTATCTGATAAGTAAATATGCAAATACACTAACTGTTGTTTTCTATAGTAAAAGACATAAGAGATCTTAGTACATTCATCCACTATTTCAATGTCGTGTAAAATTCTGTCTTCCTTGTACATAGTACATGTTTGATAAATGTCTGTTTAAAAAATATGCTTATTAGTTATTATAGCTATTTTGTTTTCAAAGTAAATCCAAATCAAGGATATATTCAATTTACTGACTTTTACTTACTACATTTTCTTTCAATGAATGAGATAAAGGGATTGTCCCAGTATACCACTCTCAGCTATTATCAGCAAACATTTATTTAGCAATATGTGCCCACTGGTTTATCAGGCTTAGTGTCCATTAGACTGTCAAAACATTGAGGGCAGGAACCACTTTTTTTTTTTTTTTAATCTACCACTCACCGCAGCCTTGACCTTCTGGGCTCAAAAGATCATCCTGACTCAGTCTCCTGAATAGCTGGGACTATAGGTGTGCACCATCATGCCCAGTTAATTTTTTAAATTTTTGTAAAGATAAGGTCTTGCTATGTTACCCATGCTGGTCTCAAATTCCAGGGTTCAAGCAATTCTCCCATCCAGCCTCCCAAAATGCTGGGATTACAGGCATGAGCTACCATGCATGGCTGCCATTTCTAATTTATCACTAAATAACTATTGCCTGGGTAGGGCTAGCATTTAACAAGAATTTGTTGCATGTATAAATAGCTCTCTCTATAAAATATTTTACAGTTTAGTACTGTCAAAAAACTTGCCATATACAACCTTAATTCAGAGAATCCCTAAAATCTTAAGTGAAACTAAAAATGTACTTTGTCATCTTAGATTCTAAGGCTTTGAGACTTACAGTCTCAAATTATTAGTATGATCAATGAAAACAAATAGAATTCCTAACACTTGTTTGGTTTAAAAAAATAAGTTGGCACACCAATTCCCCTCCAAAAACAAACAAGCAAACAACTCAACAGAAAGATTTGAAATTGCACATTATTATTCTCACCTAAGAATGTGTTTGATATGTACTCTGATACTTGATTTCCAGACCGACTCATTTCAGAGAGATGGGTGAGCTCCCGATTAAGCATCCTTTTAAACTAAAAAAGAAAAAAGTAAAATGAAATAATAGAAGAGGAAAATGTAAGTTAAATAACATAAACATACTCTAAGATATAGGATGATATGCCCAAAGAATTTTTAAATTGCCCTGACAGTTTAGATCAGTACCATCTAGCAGAGCTTTCTGAAATGATGGAAAAATGCCATAATCTGTTCTGCCCATTACAGCAGCCACTAGCAACATATGGCTACTAACCACTTGAAATGTGGCTAGTGTGAATGAGAAACTGAATTTTGAATTTTATTTAATTTTAATTCTTTTCAATTTAAATAGTCATATGTGGCTAGTGGCTACCATATTGTATTGGACAGTACAGATTTTGACACTCAAGGACTGAGGGAAAATTATGTGGAGAAAAGGGAAATAAAAAATTAAGCTATATTCTTGGCATCTACAAAACAAAATAATTTATAGGCAAACAAAAGTTGCCACACAATAAAATAAAACATGGAATGCTTTTATCAATTTATCCTAAGCAAATATATATATATATATATATATTTTTTAATGGCTGATGTGTATATATGTATATAGTATAAATATATATACTGATCAGAAATTAAAATCTAGTCTTTCACCCCAATACAAACTAAGAAGTTTTGAGTACTTTTTTGGAACTATGGAGAAATAAAATATTTGAATAAATGCTATATAATGTTTCTTTTTAAAGGTTTGTTTTTTTTTTCAAGTAGGGAGTATAACATTCATTGGTTCTCAGCATCCACAGAATTTACTAATCCATTTCCCAAGTCACTAAATAGAAAACAAGCCAATTTTCAGTACTCTACTTCACTGCTTCACAATTTGTTTTACAAATGTCATGGTGCCTATTTTATTCAAAGAAACACAAGAATTAACCTATCATCACCATATTGTATTACCAATATCCAACATTCTCTAAGATCTTATGCTTCCCCACCCGTCAGCTACTTCTTAAGGTGTCTTCCTTTGACTCTGAAAACAGCCAGACTAGGTCTTTTAATATGTCTTTAATATTCTGCCTTATTATTTTTCTTAACATACAGAAACAGTATATTTTTCTATACATAGAGTATAGATACTTGATTTAAAACATCAGATATGTTTATTCTAATCTTGAGTAGCCTTTAACAATTTGAATTTCACCATAAACTCTCTTTTAAGTCTGGAGGTGAGTAGTGAAATTATCTTTCAGCAATGTTTGAAATAAATTCTCAAACTCAGGAACACAAAGATCACTCTCTTTGTTCATATTTTTTTTTAACTTCTTTCTAATTATAAAATGCAAATGTGCTATAGAAAATCTAGAAAGTTATATAGAAAAAGAAATAATGTAAATTCCCACTGCTCAGCGTCAACCACAGTAATTAGCTAAATTTCCTTCTATGCCTTTTTTCTACATTGATGTGTGTGTGTGTGTGTATATATATATATTTTTAGATTTGCGTAATATGGTACACAAAACATAGGTTGCTGCTTGTGTTCACTGAGCACTTATTATAATCTACAGGAAAAATAAAATTGGGGCTTTCTAATAATATTCATAGACATTTACAAAAGTGCTCAAAAATTGTTCTGTTCATTTTTACAGAATTATGAGTTATCAAATAATTTAATGAGCTAACATAGAAAGTGTCTTGTACCAAGCCTAGCACATAGTAGGTACTCCATATTGAGTTCCTCCTCCCAGCTCCCTTCTAGCTAGCACTCAGTCCCTGATTTTTGGGCCTTTTATATTAATAGCTGACTTTTTTAAAATCATTGCAGGACAGATGAAAAATTTGATGAAAGTTAGAAACAGAAAAATGCATATGTAATAGATAGTTCCTTCCCCTCAAATTTCATAAGAATTTATGACAGTATTAGTATGGGAAACCATGTTTCAAAAACATAACTTTAGTATCATGCATAATGTCTCACAGGTAAGAAAATCCTTGCTTCACAGATTAAAATCATTCTTGGAAAAATTTACTTATTAGGCAAAGTACATTCCAAAGAGAAGAGTCTGCTAAACATATTAAACATGTATTCAATGAAAGAGCTCTCTGACCTGAAATTTTCCATATTTGCTAAAAGTTGCTACTAAGAATTACCTGATTGTGGCAAAATTCTTTTTTTTATAAAAGGTGGGGGAATAGGCAAGGTATTCAGCCACTGGTAGGGTCTTTTCAGTCTCTTCAGTCTACACTGTCACCTAGTACTTCTCTCAGTGAAATGAAACAACAATGTAAGCCTAGAAGGAGTGGGGGAGAGTGACTGAAAAAGTTAGACAGTAACCCAGTTATCATAGGCTCAGCTTCTAACCTGTATACAACCTACTGTAAACATGTTCCCAAGCAGAAAATGTGCAAGCTACCAACAGATATGCTACACGTATTATTGGATTTTTCTGAAAGAATATAAAAAGTGAAGTGTAATTTTCTTGGCAGTTTGCTCATACAGTTCACCAAAATAGCCAGTTAGTACAGATAACTAATAAGAAGGAGGAGGAGGAGGAGGAGGAGTCAGTGAAAGGAATCTGTTGTATGAATGAATGACATACTGCATACCCCATTTTATATTTTTGCATCATATATATTATTCCCAGATTACTCTTCTGCCTGTATTCAAAACACAAAAACCTAGGTTGAAGAAACCCTTCATCGTACACACATCTTCTTACAAAGGTGCTCCACTTCCTACAGAGGTGCTCCTCCTAAGGTGCTCCAATGAAGTCAATGCTTCATTTTACGTAACTGTAAATGACAATATTTGAAGCAGCCATCTCTATTCCAAGGGAGAGAGTATGAGGGACTTCCTAAAGCCAATTTTCAAAGAGTAAAGCTATAACATAAGGAATTTTCTCAAAGGAATTAACATCGTTTTCCTTTTTTGTTACTGACACACAAATTTTCAGTCCAAGGAAGCTAAATTAATAACTATACAAATCACCACAAGTGCTTTCTCTACTGGTATTGGTCTTCCAAACTGGTTTTTGAATGTATACCAAGGTATACTAAAGAACAATGTACTCGAGTAGTCAACAAACATTTAAAATGTAAGTGGAATTTCTCTTATTTTAAGATAACTACATAACTATTAAGATAACTACAAAAAATTACCCTGTGGGGGAAGGAACTGGGACACCAATTTATTTCTCAATTAATAGATCTGAAAAAGACAAACCATAGAACTCCTTTTCAAAATAACTGGTTGCAAAATGGATCACAATTTAATTAAGTACTTATTTTTTTAAAAGTAACTTCTAAATATTTTCTGTTGATGAATTTCTCATTGTTTTCTGGTCTAAATGGTCTGAATACATAGAATTATGTCTGCAACAAAGAAAAAAGAAGATTTTTGAGTGAATGTTTTCCAGTCCTTTGTTCCCACTATGCATCAGAATTTCTGTGTACAGCATTTAAGGCATAAAGGAAAAGGAAAATGCAGTTGATCTGAATGTTGTATTTTGCTTTTTACAAACTGCCATTCTTCTGTTTATTTTCTGCCTTTAAGGTTGTTCAGAAAACAAACTAAAACAATGAAACTAAATTAAAATATTCTTAAAAGATCATCCCTTGTACTTCTGCATCCTGGCAGTGTGCTCCTGGGTATGTTACATATCCTCCTAATACATATGCGAGGAGGTGGTACAGGTCAAACAGTAAGAAAATGCTTATTTTTTTCCTCCCACAATATCCTGCTAAAATTTATTTGAATATGTTGCACCATGATGCACTACAAGTTTGGTAGACAGCAGTATTAAAAGCTATTTAAATAAATGCTGCATTGGTTGCATAAAAATAAGTCCTTCAAAATGCATAAGACCAAACCCATCTATATTTGTCCTTCTTACAAGTGTTTAAAGGTATAGTATTAAAACATAAACAAGACTGTCCAGGAAAAAAATTTCCTCAAAAAGATAAGTACTAAAATTCTATATTTAGATTCTTGGCAGTACTATTCATAATCACAATGAGAATGCGAAGCCCTTCAAACATGCATCAATTATTAGCCAGCTAAAAGCTAAGACATGAATTCTGGAGGGATTATGTGGGATTCTTATATTACTCTTTATACTTTTCTATATTTAAAAAATAGGCAAGAAATGGATGTCAAAATTCAAATACTGAAAGTCTATATGTTTTTAAAACAATTTTTAAAATCTGGATCCATCCACAGATTTAAAGGGATGTAAGAAATCATGACAATTTAGATAACCAAAACCAAAATAAACTTTCCAGTTTTCTTAGAATTCAAGTAAATCTCAACAGCAATGGGGAAAATTTTCCTTCAAAAAGAAGGAAACAAAGCAAAATCTGGCAAATAATCCAATCTGAAAACCCTTACAGTAATAGAAAATTAATCAAAAATATATCGTAATTGGCTCAAATATTCAAGGACTAACTTCAGTCTCTGAAGTGATGCTTCCTTTAGCGCTAAATAAGATTTTTCTATCTCCTGCTTCGATTATGGAGGCAGGACCACAATACTAACATTACCACAGGACATGCAAAAAACCTGCCAAGGGTGAACATAATTGTATTAAATTCTGTGTATTCAGTCATTTCTTGAGATTAACAAAATAATAGCATCATAAAAACTATCAGTTTTACAAGCAGATAATCAAATTTTCATTTTAATACAATATCACTTAAATAGTCAAGTGATGTCAATTTTTAATGTCATTTAATGTCTAGAGCTTTGTATCTAAAGGTGAAAAAAATATATTCCTCATCAGGTTAAAGTAGGACAGATTTTCAGAAAAGCCACAAATTAATTTTATAAATTTTAAGTGCTCCATACTACTGAGATCCATAAATCAGTATAGATAACTTAGCCTGAAAATTTACTTTCAATAAATTTGCCTTACTATTATAAAGCACAACTCAAATCTATGCCACATGACAAACAATAACCACTGCATAACAAAAAAAGCTATTTTAACATGCAAATAGCAACCGATAAAAGTTATACAATCTTATATTGATCACTAAAAACATTTCTTTCCCAGGTCAT